AAAAAATTATTTCTCACCTTACACGGACACAACATACACCGTCAGTGGCGGCAACTGTCCACGTTTCCCATGCGCTACCAGCAGTTCGTTTCTCATGCTTACTGCGAGGCCGCGGGGCCAGTTTCAAAGATGGCGTTGCAGCAGGAGAAGGCTTTCTGTGTGCTCCGTTTTGAAGTGTCCCTTGGCCACCCCTTTCGCCAGATCTTATACCGTGCGATTTCTTTCTTTGGGGGTTCGTTAAAGACAGCGTTTATGTACCACCATTGCCCACGTCCATCCATGAACTTCGTGATCGGATAACGCATGCACTGCAGGCCATTACAGCGGACATGCTACACCGGGTCTGGGATGAGTTTGATTACCGTGTGGATGTGTGGACATTGAAGGATTGTAATTAACGCATGAGAAACTTGGACAGTTTCCGCCGCTGACGGTGTATGTTGTGCCCGTGTAAAGTGAGAAATAAATGTTTTATTAACTTTTGCAACTGCACCATTCTTTTGTGTATACTCTGTATTTATTTTTTTTGGAATGATTCTCGTAGTAGGCCTACACAACGATTATTTACCTGGACTTCACTAGCGAAGGATTCCGTTCTTACAGTCGATAGTTGCTGCTGAAAGAAAGTTCTTGCCGACTCTGAAATACAGAGGCTGTTCTTTTATGTACCGAACAAAACAGTACTTGTGCTCAGCTAAGTGTGTTGCATATCTAATCTGATTTGCTTGAATTTGAATAGGCAGTATTTTGTGAAACAAAGGAGAATGCCCCCATTTTAATGCAGATGCATAGAACGCAATATTATTAACACTCCTATTTTATGTGTATATTTGTCGTTTATATACTTGGCAAACAGAATGAATCGATGTAAGGATGCTGTACAGACCTCGCGAAAATAAAGTCTGGTACGGTAAAAATAAATGCAACACTGTGGCGCTGAAGGCAGTCTGCGAGACCGTACTGCGTCTGGGTTTATGCAAAGTAACTGCAGTACGAAATGCTTTCGATAGTTTTTGTTTACTGTTTAATACGAAGAAGCCACATAACTAATGTTCCTACAAAATCCAGCTTCATTTAGAAATGCGGCGTGTGAAATAGCGGTTTTAAACTAGAACATGGGCTACAATTTGCTGGCAAAGCTTCAGAATACTGTGAAAACAGTTATTTTGCTTTTGATATACAATAGGTTTCCTCGAAACGTAAATTATTACAGCTTTTTAACTTTTTGATGCCAAAACTCGTCTGAATATTACTTAAAAATTATTGCCGTTCCTCAAAGAAAACACAACACCTTTCTGCAATTCATATGAAATCAGTATGAACATTCAATGGCATTGATATTAAAACAGGTGGTATTTTAGTGACCACTGTGCTTTAAAGCGTTGACCTCCACGAAGAACAAAGGCAAGTGGGAGTGAAGTAGGTTCACAGGTCTGTATTCGGTTTTACAAATTCACCCTTGCCTTTTGTTGCTACAAAAACAGTACGTTGTGCAAAACTTTTCTGGTCTCCAAGCTCCGCTTTGCTTTTAAACCCTGGGATTCTCTCTCTACGTGTTTTGTAAGGTTGCATTGCTTTAGGGGAGGTCGCCCTTTGAGATAAAGCGTCTTCTTCTTCGTAGAATATAAAAAGAGTATTCTTTCCTGTTTCTTTTCGAAATAATGGGCCATTTTTACTTTATTCTTTAATTTAATAACACAAAAGACACGATTTGAGCGCTAAACCTTCTACCGTTATCGTGAAAGAGAAAAAGATTAGATGAAATCTGATATTAGGAGAAAGTGTTTCATTTCTAAATGACATGTGTTCATTCAGATAACCTTATAGAGTACATGTACTGATATATACTTTGCGTGATGATATTTTATATCCTACCGGCCGATAAGCATTTACATTATTCCGCATGATTACAGATCTGAATGAATTTGGCGTTAATCATTATGTTTGTGTATGTAATTAGGTAACTCAGTAGAGAAGATGATTGTCGCTGAGCTGGTCAACAATTTTAGTCTGGCCTTTTCATAGTGCCCGAGGGCTCGTTACTTTGCACACAAGACATCGCAACTTGGATCTTATTCTAGATCAGTTGAATCCAATCGGCATCCGCCCATTCTACTTCATTGAAATGCGGTTTAATGTTATCTTCCAAAGTGGTATCTTCCTGTGGGTTTTCAGAAAACTTAGTATGTATTTATCTCATGCATATTAGGTACAGGTAACGGCTATATTAGCTTTGTGCAGTTCATTGGCCTAATAATAACGAATTTCTAAGAAAATATTTTAATTTATGACAGGTTCTACTCAACTTCTGAGTCAGGAATGAAGAAATCGAAAAACCTCGCATTCAGATGGTTAAGTCTCCCACTTTATATTCTGAAAGTTTGGGTTCGAATCTCTGTCTGAACACTTGCTGTCTTGTCTGAGTTTACTGGTGGTATTCCTCATTTCGTCTAGGCAAATTCTGGGGCATCCGCAACAGCTTCTTTCCAAATCATCATTTTTAAATGTTCATTTCTTCTTCTTCTTCTTCTTCTTCCTCCATGGCTCTCCGGTCCGTATTCGGTCCATGGCCTCCTCAATTCTCCTCTTCCATTCTGTCCTTCTGTTAGGTCCGTCTGTCCGAGGTTGAGGTTTCGAAACAGCTTCCGTTTTACGGTGCAAGGTTGTTAGCCTTGCGACCAACCCCCAACCTGGAGGACCAGGGTACCTGTCTTAGTCTGACCTCTCCCACTCGATCAATCTGGCTAGGGAGGCCCTACCAGTAGCTCTTGAGGTCACTGAGGTACTCAAGCCCCACCACCACGACAAGGTGCAGGTACCATTAAGTGGGGAAGTGTACATTTACAAAAGAATAAATTAACTTATTGTTTCTAGTACAGTTCTGTCCTCAAAGAGAAGCAGCAGAGAAGGGAATTTTTCTAGAGCAATTCAGTTATGTTGTTTGATTCGCTTATATGTTTGTTGGATTTGTTTGACTGTAATGCCAGGAAGATTACTGTTTCTTGTTGAATACTTGGAAAATTTCGGTCCTGTGAGAAGCATCAAATAAAGATACATCTTAATTTAATTTCCATTAAAATCGCTCTCTGTATTGGGAATCTGCTAAGGACAGCTGGAAATGCTGGTTAGTATGAACGAGAAATATTAAAAAACTATTTGTGTTCCAAGTGTTTAGCCTGGTGTTGAGTAAATCTCTTTAACAACTTTTCGAAATGCTAACTAGTATATTTATTTTCCGTCTATACATGTTACCTTACTTGCTATGGAAATTTGAAATTGATGACTCACGTCAGCTGTTTTCTTGTACAAGTAACAGGACGTGTTGCGTATAGACGCTGTTAATTTCAGGCTCAAACTTTTGTATTCGCTTTGTAAACAAAATGTTACGAAAACAGGTCAGTACGTTCTTCAAAAATTATGTTCTCCCAGTTATTTTCCTGCCGGTAATCAGGATATTCCACACAGACATTTAATCCAGTTTACAGGAACTTTATTTGAACTTGTACATAATGTGTAGACCAGGAGCTAACCCGCTGCTTGCGTGTATTGTGTAACATTGTATCTCACTATATCCGAAGAAAATAATTACTGCGTAAATTAAATATGACTTTCAATTTTAATTGAATAGTTAATTCAAATAACAGATCAAGTTTTGTTCCTTTTATCACTGCTGGCCGAGCTTTCTCAAGTAGGAAGAACTGAGACTTGTTTAGCCAGTAACGTTTTGTGGAAATCGGGCTTTCACAGGAACTTAACATTGCACCTTATTCCAAGTCAGTTGAGTTCAGTTCACAATTTCAGAACCTACTTTAAGATCCGTTTTAATATTATCCTCTCATTTTTGCCGTGCTCTGACAAATTGTCTCTAATCCTTAGGTTAGCCAGAAAAGTTATTCATCCTTGACTGTTCACACTAAAAAATATGAATATTTTATGAAGTGTACGGATGGATTTTGTTTGATTTGTAGTGTCAAATTATATCGTTTTCGAAGGGAATATGTGTCATAGTTACATAATCTGCATTAATTAAATACTCCATAAATTTCATCAAATGGAACAGTTTTAAAACATGGACAAGTCAAGATCAAATACATTACACATTTCCCTATGCTTGTATTTTAATTGCTGAACAACATACAGTTTCTGCATATTTATTGCCCAGTTAAACAGTGCAAGTAATAAATTGAAAGCACACAGTTCCATTCATTATTGTGTTCCCATGTAATCGTACACCGAAATGGGATGTTGTCTATCAGAATTTTGATGGTCGCAACAACAGATTTTCACCTGACACGCAAACAGAATAATTGTCAGCTCAGAAGAGAACATCTTTGCTGCTGACATTTTACACAGTTCAAACATCCAACTTTTGAAAATCCCATTTCGGGAATTCATTGGCGATATGGAAAAACACACTCACACATCCAGTGTAACCCAATATCAGAACCAGATTGAAATGCATGTATTCCGGCAAGATTGACAATATCTGCAATTATTTCACACCACCACTGTGGTAGTAGAAACGAAAGAAAGGTTTTTATCACCGCTAATGTCAAAGCCTGCCATTGGACACGATCCTCGGGTTATTTCATCCACCTCCAATCCTCAGAAGCTAGCTCAGTAAGACCCATCTTTATGTTCCATGGGCCCACCATTTCCTTCTCGATTCGTTCTTACAAGTATACGTTTTCAAAGAAGCTTCTTAATCAAAATTCTGTATGAACTTCTCCTCACCCTCATCGCAGCCTGTCTCTCATATTTCGTTGTCTTAACGATACTATATAACATGTAAAACAAAGGAGTTTCAAGTTTTCGGCCCTTAGCCGTTCACCTTGCCAACTTTATCCTTCCTATGTTCGGGTATTTTTCTTTCCGTTTAATGCACGGTGGAAATGGATCGCTTTATGCATTGTACCTTGTTTGTGCCGTAGCAACTGCCAGATAGATAGAAAACTGGGAAGACAATGATTCTGTATTGTGTATCTGCTTGATTGTTACAGAGATGTAGTGATTCCGAAGTCAAAGTTCCTGGCTGAGGAAGAGGCGAAGAGGAAGGCGGTGGCTGCAGCAGCGGCGGCTGCAGACAGTCACGAGGATGATGACGGAGATGATGACGTCTTCTACGACAGTGAGGATGACCAGGATGATGATGATGACAGTAGCGACCCCGTCTCGTAAGTTGCATTCTTCTGTTTACTTCAGAGCACTCTAGACGATGTACATTAGGACTTCTCGGACGAAAACAGTCGTATACCGTAGAGATTAACTTTTAGTGCACTTGGCTATGATACGGGATGATCCCCTCGCTAGATACCCCAGATTTGGGGCAATGAAGCCACTATTTATGCACCGTTGGTTACATTTCTGTGACATTCCAACAAAATGTCTTCTTCTTTTGCATGGTGACCTGAGAGTCGACAGAGAATAAAATTGTGTATGTGGCCCCAGGTCTGGAAAAGGTTGACCACCCCTGAGCCTAGGTTACCATTCCTGAAGCGGATGGAGTTGTTACAGCTATGTGCCGGTCTTGCACTTATTCAGGCATGCACCTACTCAATAATTTAATGTGAAGCCACCCCCATCAGGTTCCGGAGCTTATGGCTAGTAGAGGGCGTGGTTCATGATAAAAACAGAGAGACAAACAAACCGTCACGATGTAGTTCGCGCTCTGATATTTAATACTTGAATATTATACACGTATAGCAGACGGCGGGTCTGTAAGTTCAGCAAGAGGTCTGATACACAGATAAAAGTCTTAAAACTCTCGGACATTCTTATTTTCTTCACTTGTTTCATGTCGTATTTGCACTGAAGGTTACGATATTTAAGCGTTTGTTTCCAGACATATGTAGCTACATTCACAGTACTTTGGAAGCGATAACTTGAGTACAGAGATTTGATCATTGTCGATCATATAAGAAGAAAATGTCAAACAGTGAAGCAGCGTTTATCCCGCTCATCTGATCCTCCAAAAATTATATTTTCTGAAGACTAGATTACAAATTACAAAGTGCCACATTATGTAACATTGTCCATCCCACTGTTACTTCTTCTCTCTTAGATCCAAATATTGTCACAATCACTTTGTTGTCAGACACCTATAACCTAAGTTTTCACCTTGGAACGAGAGACCAAGTTTCACACCCATATAAACAGATACAATTCATGAAGATTTCTGGGTTGCGCTGTGTAGTCTGGTCGATGTTTACCAACGTTTCAGAGGTCATACTGCCTCCGTCATCAGGGCGATTCTTAGTATGAAGATTTGTCTTCTGTGTTGTTGCGCTGTGTAGTCTGGTCGATGTTTACCAACGTTTCAGAGGTCATACTGCCTCCGTCATCAGTGCGATGACAGAAATCTTCATACTCACCGCTGTGTAAACCACAAATCATAGATACAATTCATCTTTACGTTTTTAGATACGAAACAGGAAGACAAAATGTATTTGACCGTAGTTTTGATCTCCTGATATCGTTTCCATATAGTTTACTTTTTCCACGTTTTGGAAGGATTACTAGTTATCTTGGCATCGTGACTTTGTTTAACGTTGTAGTGTGCTAACGTGTTAAGAGACACGTCTCAGAATCACGATACATCTTTCCCCTCAGGATACAGATTGCTACCTGTCGCTACTTGCCTCTCATTACGTTGTTTGTATCGAAGGGCATTACTCACTCAATTCGGATGGATGTGATGACCGTCTCTGAGAGAAACAGATCGTGACCTGAAGTCTAATCTGCACCAACACCCAATGTGTTCAGTACATGTAATATGTATCCAAGCTTCTAAGGCTGGACAGAAACTTACGATGGTTCGAGAACTTTGTGACTTGTATGTTCAGTCGCATCTCAGAAGTTCAATATTGTGTCAGTTTTGTTCTGTCTTTCTTTCTCGTCTGGTTTGCTTCTAACGGAAGGTCTCACTGAAGTAAACACGATAAATTCAGAGCACCAATAGAAGAGAAGGGGGAGAATGTTTCTGTCTCAAATAGGCTTCCTGAGAAATGGGATGGAACTCAGTCTAGCTTGGGAATATTGCAAAAGATACATATGAAGTCTCACTGCTAGTTATTCTCGTGTTCGCTGGAACGGTTGTTAGGCAATAAATACTTTCCAGAAGCAGCAGCAGCTACTCTTATACGCACCGTGTGCTGAAAAGAGGCCGGGAAAATGCAAGACAACGCGGTTTTATCCGTATAGACAAGCCTCAAAGGAAAGCAAAGCCTTCAGTGATGCGCGTCTCAGTGCACTAGGCTTGCTGATACTTTCAAGAGTGGAAATTCTCGTTTCATCTGAATAATAATTCAGCTTTGAGCTAAGAAAAATAAAGTGAAGAAAAAAGGTAAGACATTGCCAACATTTTCTCTTTTATTAAAGTCCTTGCCAATATTTCTAATAAATTCTGTTGGCGTGACAGCGAAAGACGATCATATAAAATTGCAGTTAATAATTCTTCGCTAATCGGTTTGAGTCAGTGAGACTGTATTTGGCTTAAGCCCTCTCTTACTGAACACCAAGGAATTAAAACCTGAATACTTAAAACATAGATTTAAGGAATTTTACTGAAGCGTATTTCAATTTTATGTCGAATCGCAAATGTATCCGCTGTGCATGACAGTAATTTGGTTCATACAAATATGCCAATGGATAGGAGAAGGTTTCAAAATATGTGAACCCAGTAACGAAACAAATTGAGGATTGAAGATTACTGGCTCCTGGGACATTGCACCGTGTAATCTGGCGGAGGTTTGCCGACTTTCCAGAGACGCTTTCTGCCTCCATCATCAAGGCAGTGACGGCCTCATGTCCGTGATCATGGATGTTTCAAGCATGTATGAAACGTCAGTAAAATTCTACCCAGAAGACACTCAACTTCATACTCGCCACCGTGAGAACCAGAAATCTCGCCAAATTGAGGAATGCGCGTTAGACACCGAGGGGGGTGGAGGTGACGTCGGAACAAGCTGGACAAAAGCAAGAAAGTTGGCAGGGTGGCAAGGAGTCCCTTGTTTGGATCTTGGCCTCGGAAACATTCATCTGGACTCTTATTCCTCTTAGTTTTCCTCAGGTACCAGGAGAATGTCGGGACATAAGAGTTCATTCAAATCTCCGCCTACTAAATCTTTTCCATATCTTCATTCATGGTTATATTCCCATGTCCTTCCATGCGAAATAATTTCTGTGGTAGTATCAATTTTCAATTCAATTCAATTAATTTATTTAAGTGCTTGACAACAGCCAGACAAGGCCAATAACAGTCAAGCACTGAACAACAGTACAGGATGAAATATAATACAATAACTACATTCATTTCTATAATAATAAAATACAATAATAATGTAGTGATTAATATTGTATGAAATGTCCCATCTACTCCTTGGTCTCCCAAGTGGCTTCTTCCCTTCATTGCTTTCTACCAGATGTATGCGTTTTTCATCTCCCCATATCCCACCAATTTTATCGTCTTTGATTTGGGGACCCTAATAATGACCTATTTGGTGAAGCTTTTCATTATGTGATTTCCCTAGTTACATCATTAACTCTGTCTTAGGTCTAAATATCCTCATTAAATGTTGTACCCAAACGGGGAATAGGAACACAAAATTAAAAAAGTCTATAGAGGTCATGTTCCACTTTTATGTATATTGTGTAAATTTCAAGGAATGTGAATAAAAATGCTGTCTTGCGCAGCGGATGCACAGCAACATGTAAGTTACGTAATTCTGTTACGTGTGGCAAAGAGATAGAGTGGATTTTTGTGCTGTACGGTAAAAACAAGTCTGCAGATGAACAATCCATTTGGATGCAAGAGTTGTTTGAAGACGACCTTAATGATGTGTTGAGGTGCAGAACGTGAGGGCATTTCCACTCCCTTTATTATGGCCGTCATAATTATTTGTAGCGCCTCTCCCCACGTCGGAACCAGGCGAGTTCTAATTGAGATCCTCAGAACGCACTGGAAACTCTACTTATAAAAGAGATGACTTTTCAAAAGACACGTTCCTCATTAATTAAGAGAGAGATTAATTGTTATTCCTTAATTATATCTATAGAATAAAATGGCACGATTATGGTATATATCATAGACTTTCAGCTGTCAGAAACAGAGAAATAGAATTCTGCACTTTGTACACCCGAGACACAGAAGTAGCTTGGTTTTAATTTATATCAATTTTAGTATAGGACTGTTATAATCATAGTCAAAATTTCTTCTTTCAGAAAAATTTGATCTTCTCAAAATTAGGCAAGTCAGAAATGAACTTGTGACGTCTACTGGCATTCATATGCTTCAGTCTACATACTAACATTTCCACAAACTCTTAATAATTACTTATAAAATCCTTCTTCTTCTTCTTCACTTCCGGGATTGTTACGACTTCGCTCGTTCCATCTTTTCCACGGTCTCCCTTGGTCCCGGCCTCCTTTAGGTTTGTATTTTAAAATTTGTTTTGGTGTCCTTTCGTCTAGTATTCTGCCTGATTTATCCATTTGTTCCTGTAATTTTCTATTTTCTATTGTATGAGGTCTGTATCTAATTCTCTTCCAATATTATAAGATTTAAAGATCTATATTTGTGCATAATGTCCTAGGTTCAAAATTATTAGACCTTATATGTTATATAAATCATGTATTATATTATAAAATTACGTTCAGGCGTTGTTTGTTTCCATTAAAATAGTAAATAGTATTTTTTACGTGTCTGTGAGATGTAATGGTATATGACGTTCATTCGAAGTTCCATAAAAATCCATCAGTTATTTGGACGTTGTAAAGGACAGGCTCACGGACGTCGTGATATCATTAGCCTGTTTGCCTTTAGAATATAAGGAATGCAGGTTCAGGATGGTAATGCCAGTGGCTGTATCTGATCACCGGAGGTCGGTTGGTTCGTAATCTCTAGGGATGGCGATGGCTGGGTGCCAATATAGGAGCTTTAAGGCAGATGCAGGGGGAGAGGGGGGTCCATCCATGGCTGTGGAGTCTGCTGAGTAGTCGCCAGCAGCAGCCATTCTGTCTACTCATTTCTCTCTTTGCCCTGGAATTATTGAGAAAGTGAAAGCGATTAGCAACGAAGCGAGATTTCAAGTTTCATATTTGTTTTTTTGTTTTTGTTTTTTGGTAATTCAATAATGCAGAATCCTCTCAGAAGTCGATAGTTGCGTAGCTGGTGTGT